ATCCATAACTTCACTCGATTTTATCCAAATTCAACATTATTAAAATTACGTGAAAGTTCAAACTCTCTACTTCCAGGCTTTGCCAACAACGTGTGTATTGTACGTTATTATACAATCATAAAATAAGTAACATGTCATAAAAATTGAATACAAATTACCTATAAAATCTCAGACCGCTTTTTCAGTCTTCGGACGTGGCTCAGAACGTCTGGTTGTACTTGTTTATCATTTCGCAAACGAGCACGTTCTAGACATCCGTTGCCATGACTCAAAATTTCAGTATCTCTGCATTATCTTGGTCGCTCAGGACAACGGCGGATCCTTGAAATTTCCAACTAAAATGTCTCATTATAATGTCATTTATTACTGTAATCTTAAAGCAAGATAATTAATATATCCCTGTGAATACATGGAAAAAAACATGGGACCTAGTTGAAACCATAATTACAAGAAATAATCTTCTAAAATGAAAAGCTTCATTTTTAGGGTAGCTTCCCCTATCTGAAGAAGACACATGTCAGTCAGATGGGCTTCTTCAATAACAGCGTTATAAATGAACTGGTGTTGGGTAAACTTGGATAATTATTCACCAGTGGTGTCTCGATCTAAAGGAAGGGGGCCCTACAGAATATTGTATATATTATTTACAGTGGACTGTTATTGCAAAACTGAGAAACAGACATATGAAAACTTATAAAATTTGAATTGATCATAACTAAAAGTGAATTTATGCTAATTCTTTTCATAATCTTCCTGTCTCACATGGTGTAGAAGGGTTTGCTAACAAGCAGAGATCTCGGAAGTACGATCACCTAAATTAATGAAAAGCTATTTTAGTGAGAATACGTCAAAAAAATATTAAAGATGAGACAGTTCGTTCCAATGGCCCTAGGAGCTGAAGAAAAATATATATGATTGCTAATAACTGATAACCTCACATCTGCTCACTCGTGTAAAGATTTGAGCTTATGCACCGGCAATTCCAGCTTTCGTAATTTGGAATAAACTGCCTGCAAGCATCGATAATCACCGTGTTGGCAGTCCGGGGTCACCTCGGTCTTCTACGTCCAGCCGGCGAGGTTCGACCTTATTAGTCCGAATGTTAGTCCTCATTCAGTGCCTAAAACCAAACCCATTCACTTATAAATGCATACATTCTTACCTTTCACTCAGTTAGGTTGGTGGAGTACTCGATGTTCCGCCATCACTCTCTTAACCTATTATAAACTTACCAAATTGAGAGTCGATGGGAAACTCGATATTTTACCATGGGTCTTCTCACACTACACGTTCACGGCAATACATACATCCATACTCAAAACCCGATTGGGACAAAAAAAAAAACGAACAGTTTTTATACAATTAAACAACCTTGTTTCCTCCAAAAATCGGAACTCGGACCTAGATACACGCTGGCGTGCTCAAGGACAATTCTATATCGGGTGGCATTCCTACAAGCTCTCTATATAGAGCCAAGTGGTATCACACTTCAAGTAGGTGGAATATATCGACCAACCTTTCTCTACAAAAAATATATTAAATAATTTATACTTTTCTTCCCTACATAAAGGTACATCAATATCTGACCGACCGACGAACGAAATTTATTTTTAACAAAAATAAAGTTGGAAATGCCCCGAATACAAATTTTTGGCAAAATAAAAAAAGTGTTTTTCCTAAAATGTTTCACCGTCTAATGCCTTCAATTGGAGTTCAAATGGAGTTAACTGCTCTAGACTGACCTACAGGAAACTTTCCAAGAACTTTAGAACACTTTAAACGTAATGGGGTTTTTTTTAACTTCAACCTTGACATCAAAAGCAAAGGGTTGCTTAACTCAAATTGTACACGTAATGCAAGAACGTAAATAAATTAGAAGCTTGAAAAAAATAAATAAAACGTCAAGTGGTTTTTTGTTGATTTCATCCTTATTTACCTCACTAAGGTACAATGTAAGGCATAAAATCTAAATATTGTTGACATAAGCTAAAAGTGGAGAAATGAAGAAATAAAGGTTATCAACGGGCTAAATAAAGTTGGAATAAGATAAAAACCAATGGACCTATGTATTTTGCCGTGGAATGGTAGGCATCGGAGAAAAAACAATTTGCCCAGCTAATCTAGCCCCAAAACGTATACGTTTTGCTTAATAAAAATCCGTATTTAAAAGCTTTCAATGATGGTGAAAACAAACCTGAATTTCTAAAAAAATATTTTGATCTATTTTACTGGAAATGTATTTTGGGTTTTGTAACGTTTCTCGTAGGCATCTTATCTCATTTAGAAAATCGTTGTTAACACAATTATTTTTTTAACACATTTTTAAAATGGCCACGGAGAGCTTTAGTGATGATATACTTCGTTTTCCTTATCAAATCCATTGTATTTCGTGGTCCGATTGACCAAATAACATCTTTCAATTAATTAATCTTTATGCAAGGTATTGGTTGAAATGAAAAAATGATGGTGGAAATGAAATTGATTGAAAAATGGCAAAAAGGAGGGAAATTTCGAAAGGTAGGTTGAGATTAGAAGTGGTGTCCGAGTCACGATAGCATAATAGCATTTTACATCATTTTAAATTTTAATTGTAGTTAATTTTCATATGGGTTTTCAAATGCAAATTGTTTTATATGTAAAAAAATATATACTACTTAAAAGTATAGTTGAAAAATGGCAAAAAAGAGGGAAAATTCGAACGGTTGTAGGTTGTGATGGAGAGTTGGTGTTCGAGAGGATCGAAGTCACGATAGCTCAAGTGGTAGAGCAGAAGCGTATTTAGCCGAAGGTCGTGGGTTCGAATCCCGTTCGTGACACTAACTTTTTCATTTCAACCAATACCTTACATAAAGATATATTTCAAGGTTGTTACATATCGGTAAATTTTGCGTAAAATATCAAAATAACGAGAGAGGTCGTATTAAATGTGATAAGAAATTTTCAAAAACAAAAAAAGCTTCTTTTTTTTTAAATAAAGGCTGCGACCCTATTGGTCATTAAGCCTTGAGACTATACAAGTCAATGGTGCAGCCCGGCTCCATCAGAGCGAAGCCCCCGCAAACCCCGACTCAGAGGCAGTTCCAAGGTTGGAAGAACGGAACCCTAAGGATCTCTCGCAACTGATGGTTTTAATCTTAGTATTGTGCGCAGGGCTTTATCGAGGAGGAGTCGGTGTCTAGTCACCATCGACACCTCCTCCAAGCTCATTGGAGATTCCTTGATCTCAGAGTCCGGGAAGGCACTCCTCAATCCAGCCCAACACTGTAGAACACCGAGGCCCAGTACAGCGTTGCCAGAAGTCAGCCGAGCCATACTGCCGACACGAGCAAAGGAAACAAGAGTTGAGGGAATGCGATATTAAATTTTATGTCTGTTAAGAAGTTAAAAATTTTATTTATTGATGTTGAGTGTTGCTTAATATGGATTGGAGGTCTTGGGAGATTTGGTGGAGGGTTCTTGCAGAGGTGTATAAAGGACAATCTATTAGGATGTGGGATATTGTGATTGTTTTTTTTAAAGAGTGGACATATTGGTTTAGGGGTTCTTTCAAGGAGGAAACTATGGATGATTCGGGAGTGGCCAATTTGAAGCCGGGTTAGGAAGGTTTCTTCTTTTCGGGAAAGTCTGGAAAGAGTATTTCCATTTCTTCTCATCTTTTTTATTGCGAGGACCTTGTTTCTTGTTCAGCACTCCATTCATATCCAAGACGAGCCGCCTAAAGTGACAGCAGATCTCACTGAAGGGAACCCCTCCGTGAGCAGTACCATCCAAGACTGCTTCTCTCGCCAATCGGTCCGCCTTCCCATTTTCTGTTATTCCAGCGTGGCCTGGAATCCATTTGACTAACACTTCTACAACAACGTCTTTGAAAGAATATTATAGATGTCTGGGATTAGGGAAAATGTTTATGTTTTTTAGTGTGGTGAGTGCTGAAAGAGAGTCAGAACAGATAATTAGGGTGGTACGGGACACATAAATGATACTTAGCTGACATAGTTTAAAACATGAGAAATCCATATTTTAAACGAGGCTAATTAAGTTGGGATTGGGTAAAATCAAGAGGACCTATGCCTTTTTAAGTGGAACAGCGGACATCGGAAACCAATAAAATTTCCCCTGGGTAAGCAAGCCCAAAAACTTATATTTTTCGTTCGCTATAAAAATTTGTGTTTAGGAGCTTTAAAAGGATGCTTAAAACGAATTTGTATTTTTTAATATATATTTTGGCCTACTTATATATTACACAGGGCGGGCGACCAGGACCCGAGGGGTTAAAAGCCTGAGTAGGCCCGTACCCCATCCCTAGAAGGTCCGGGACCTGGTCGGCTCACGAGTCCTGTATAAACCTATTGGACCTATTCACAAACCCCAGGATTGTGGACCATTTTATCCTGGGGAGTGTTTTGGTTATGTCCTCTCCTNTTTTTAATGTGGCCTTTCCAATCAAGTTTCCTATCTAGCGTTATCCCTAGGAACTTGATTGTATCCTTTAATTTTAATTCAATGCCCTGACATTTTGGGTTTTTAAAATTACCTATTGATCTTCTCCTGCTGAACATTATCAGTTCCAGTTTAGCAGGATTTATCAAAAGACCTTTGTCGCTACACCATCCGGTTAGCAACCCCTACTTAACTTACTTGGCCTACTTAACTGAAAGCGTATTTTGCTTTTTGTAACTTTTTATGTATCCTGTCTTATTTACATTATGGTAAGTGAGACGGGGAATACAGATATATATTTGTGTGAGCGTATTCGTAAGGAAGGAAAAGCCCCCAGGACCCCATGTAGTATGGAGGGCTAAATTACCGCCGGGTCACACACCAGGTGGTAATGTAGGACGGGGTCTCCCCTCAAGATTGCCTTTCCACCTGGCCACCCTTCGATGTCCGACTCTTCCGCTAATATTTTTTTTCCATAAGCCAAAGTTCATATTTTTATCGGTTAAATTTATATATTTTGGAGTTTGAAGTTTTGATATAGATTTTTCTTTACATTTCAGTCGATCCTGACCAGTTCATCATCGAGCTCGGCGAAGAGGTGGCTATTCACTGCATCGCTGGGAAAGTCCTACGCGCTCTTAAATCCCTGGGAGCTGATTTCGGATCGTTTTTAACCACTTTGGACGGCGTACTTGAAGTACTGAAGGATGAAGGGGATCTCGCCTTCCACTCTCAGGTGAACAAGGCCTTAGCCTTTAATTTCAATTATTATTATTATTATTAATTAGTATTTATCGCACTTACAAAGGAATTCAACATAATGAAACATTCTCCCGAAAAGGTGAATCGCAAACCAAACGTTCCACGTGTCTTTTGTTCAAATATAAAGCCACGCGTCTAAACTTCAACATCAAAAGCCAGTCGGGTAACATGTAACATAAGATAACATGAATAGCCTGCCTTGAAATTGAACTAGCAATTTAAAATTGAGGTAATACAGAGGTTTTCCTACAATCCTTCTAGATAACTTTCGGGGAATCAATCCTCAGATTAAAATTGAATTAGAGTATAAATTAAACTTTTTCCAGGTAAATAATTAATGGAATCAATTAGGGTCGATTTTTATTAGATTCATCAAAGCAAATGTCATCTGATTATAATTTTAATTGAAATTATTTTTGTGATGCTAGTTCGAACAATATTAGAATAGAATTTATTGCAGTAAACTGAAAAATTTTGATATTACACAATTAAAATATTCGCATAAAAACTTCTATATGTTAATGCCCCGAAATGTCGATTGAGGCATCTTTTATGAGGTTATGAAATTCTTATGAACTTTGTACAGCAACTTCCTCGTTGTTTTTTCCTTCTGCCTGGACGGGAAGAAATTCGTATTCGTTCTTTCTTGGCTGTTGCTCTTAAAGCGGGGAATTCGCCCGATTGAATATTGAATTGCTTCCTTAATTGCGTAATTCTCACAGGTAAAAATGGATGCCACTCCTGGAAGACATAATTTCAGATTCTTATTTAAGCCGGGAACATACTTGCCCGAAGCAACGCTATGCTACCCGATGCTACCCGACGACTTGCCACGTTTTGGTAGGGTGTGCACATCTGTTCGACGTCAGATCACAAATCAGTATCACAATCGCAACGCATCTTTTGTTCTTAATGCATTATTTTGAGCAAAACCGTGTAATAAATTGTCAGTTAAATTTTATGATCACAACCATGTAATCAATTGTTAGTTCAATTTAATTATTTTAAATAAACAATGTGTTTTGATAAATTTCTGCCTAACCATCATAATTAAATAATTTTTATAAAAACGCATGAATTTTTTATCTCGTTTAATTTGGTTTATATTAAAATAAGAATGTTGTAATTAATATAACGACAAAATTACATATACATAGTTTGAAATAAACTACAAAAAATATGAGTGTCCTGTGTCGAGTAGCGTCAGACTCGACGAAAATGGTGTAGTTGTATGAGCAAAACCATGTTGTAATTAAAGTAAAAGTGTAAGTTATAGGTATAAAGTGTAAGTTAATTTTAAGTTAAATTCATTCTATCAGTAAATGGTAATTCGGTGTTTTGATCAATTTTCTGTCAAATCATTCAAATTATTATTTTTTAAATAAAAACTAATTAATTTTTGATCTCGGTTAATTTGGTTCATATTAAAATAAGTTTGTCGTAATTAATATAACGACAATTATATGCAGTTTGAATAAAAATATGAGTGTCCGGTTCTTTGTCTTCGACTGTACTCGATGCTACCCGACGAAAATCTGGACGGTGGGGATAGCAGAGCGTAGAGTAGGGTAGCGTTGCATAGCATCGGGCAGATGTGCATGGGGGTAATTCAACCTTATGGAAAATTTGACTTTGGACTTTGGGTGTGTTCCCCGCTTATATGTTGGTCGGTCGAGGTTCTAACATGACAAAGTTGTGATCAGTCTCAACACTCGATTTTGCACTGTTTACAACCTCTTGACTTGAGATTTAGAATTTGATATTTTTTAAGTAAATGTGACATTTTAAGTCTAGAGGCCAACTTTTATTAATAAATTCACTAATTTCGTGGTCCGCTTGACCAATTAATATATTACAATTAATTATGGTTTTTATCTCAACTAAAAACCTTAATTAATTGTTTTTTATTATTATTTAAATCAGTGTTCAAGCCAGAATATTTTTTTGTAATGATTGAAAACCAAATTGATATGAATTTATAAACTTATTCCTTAACAAAATTTTTTAAAAATTGAATTTTCCATGATTTTTGAGATTGTTTCAAAATTTGGCCCACGGGTCAAAATTTTTGCTATTATGACCGAAATTTTATACCAAAGAAAACCTCCATTATTTTTGAATCGAAAGCTTCTTTTGTGGAAGCGGTCTCACTAAACACATCAAAGGAGGCCAACATGTTCGAACGAAGTGCGCAGTACATAGGTGACGTTTCTACACAGTGGGCCAGCATTGGTCGGCCATTGTCTGCTGATTCCGACCAGGTTTCATCAATAACATGTAAATACGAATTATACGCCGAAGCCCAACACAAATCCGCAGTAGCGATTTCCTTGACGTCTATATGCATCACAACACAGGAAAAATAAGCAACTACAGGACATTGAAGCGATTCTGGCAATCTTAGGCCAAAGGTTGAGCCATCTATCGGCAAACGTGCTCTCGGTGATCTATGCATTGGCCTGTCCTGACTCATAGTGTAGAGAGGCTGTGAGATGTAAACCTTTTCTCAACGAACCAATCATCAATCCGTCCAATAGAACTTTTGTTAATTGCTACAATGTTTACTAAACCATCTCACTTAATGGAAGATGTAATATCGATTGCGTACCCATTAGTTAAAGTTCCGGAAACCTGATAAAAATGTCGTTCGTATAGATCAAATGAAGAAACGGACCTTACATTGAGTCCTGTGGTACACCTATTTTTACATTTTTCAGATTGGAAAATGGACGACCAATATGCACCTTTGTTGACGACCATTGACATAGGACTCAAACGGACCGACGGGAGTCGCTAACTTCGTCAATTTTTTAATACGAAGATCATTCGGCATATAATCAAACTCGTTACTAAAATCAAGAAAATTGCCAACGAATATGCCCTTTCTTGGAAACATTTCAATGTTACATTAACAAAATACAGCACACCATCTTGCGTACTTCTATTTTTACGAAAACCCTACTTATTTTTCTTAGAGAAATTATTTCATTTCAAATGGTCCAACTATTGTTTTAGAATTTTCTCAAAGACAAGTTGTCAGACAAATGTTGGAAAATTCTTGCCTATATAACAGGCCTATTTGAGCGGAGAAAATAAAACTGCTTTATATTAATGTTAAAGAGCTGAGTCATGGCCACGACGATCAAAACGAAATTACTGCTATTAATAAAATTACTAAAGAGAAAATACAATTTTCAACTGTATTCTTCATCAGAATTCTTCGTTACATAGTTTAATGTAAAAAAAGAATAAAAGTTGAATATAAAAAGATTCCCTCTCTTTCAAAAAGTTATCGAATAACAAAAGATAACGAAGGTAGTTCGGTTTCCTTTGACTCCTGTTCGCCTGATACACCGATGTATATCGCTCGATAGATCCGGGGGTGTCGCGAACACCCCCGACCCACCTTGTTTCAAAGCACGTGGAAACAGATCCTTCAGACCATTCGAATATCGGGTTGTCCGGAAAATAATGCAGGATTTTAAGTTTTCATTAAAAAAAATCTATATAAAATATTCTGTTTACGTTTACAGGATTACTCATTTGTATGAATGTCAACACTTATTAATCCTCTTCCAAATGATATTGTTTGTTTACCTCTGTAGCATTCCGCTACTTGGAAATAATTCAGTCATCCTTATAATGTCAAAGCGAGAATTTCGTACGATTTTCTTTTACGAGTTTAAACTCGGCCGAAGCGGAGCCCAAACGGCTAGAAACATTAACCAAGTCTGGGGCGAGGGTTGTGTTAATGAGTGCACTGTGCAAAGGTGGTTTAAAAAATTTCGGGAGGGAGATTTCAGCCTTGAAGATGAAGAAGGTCGTGGAAGGACTTCCTCTCTTAATGATGATGTTCTGCGATCAGTGGTGGAAGAAAACCCCAAAACAACTGTTCGAGAACTTGCAGAGCAACTCAAAGTCAGTAAAACGACCGTCGCTGACCACCTCAAGGCGATTGGAAAAGTGAAAAAACTCGAAAATTGGGTTCCACACTCATTAAACGATCGCCAAAAAATCAGCGCTTTGATGTTTGTGCATCACTTCTTTGTCGAAACAAAAATGACCCATTTCTGGCCAGAATTGTTACATGTGACGAAAAGTGGATTCTCTACGATAACACTAGACGTTCTGGACAGTGGCTCGACAAAGGAGAAGCTCCAAAGCCCCCAACTCATCAAAAAAAGGTAATGGTTACGGTATGGTGGGCTTCATTTGGTTTAATACACTACAGCTTCTTAAATCCTGGCGAAACCATCAATGCTGAATCATACTGTAACCAAATTAATACCATGCATCAGAAATTGGCAGTAATGAAGCCCTCTTTGGTCAATCGGAAAGGGCCCATTTTGTTGCATGACAACGCTCGACCACATGTGTCACGTGTAACGTCACAAAAATTATTGGAGCTTGGCTATGAAACTTTGCCTCACCCACCCTACTCTCCGGACCTCTCGCCTACTGACTACCATTTTTTTAGACACCTGGACCACTACTTACAACACATAATATTCAAAAATCAAACGGAACTGGAAAATGCATTTATTGACTTTATCAATTCTAAAAATTCTGAATTCTACTCAGACGGAATTAATAAGTTACCAACACGTTGGGAGAAATGTATTGAGAGTATGGGAAATTATTTTGATTAAAGAACATTGCTTTAAAGTAACTAGTTTCTTTTTTTTTGTTTAATACCAAAATCCTGCATTATTTTCCGGACAACCCAATATTTTCATTTTTTTTCAATAAAACACATTTTCATAAAAGAATAAACAAAAAATTATTAATAGATACAACATGGCCCGTTTGAGAGTTTTTCATAAAATACATTGCTAAAAAAAAAATATTTTCTTAATTGTAGGCTAAGTATTTGATTGTCTAAATTGTGGAAGGGTTCGCTTTTTTATTTCAACATTAGCCATATAAATATTTACATAACACATTTTCTAGTTCAATAGACACTCATTCACACAT